AGTTTTTTTTTTCCTTCTGACATTTTATCTTCCTCGAAGATAATCGCTTTTCCTTTGAGCTAGTTTTTTTGTTATTTACTTATTTCTAATTTATGTTTCTGCCAGCATGTGTCTGTCAGTTTCCTGTTCATTAAGAAATCTCTTCTGGAACCTCTTGGCTAGGATCAGTCTCTGCCAGTTGCCTGGCAGTCATGTTTGGACTTTATCTGCGAGATTCCTCTTGGCTGTTTTCTATGTTAGATCTTCAATTGCTTGATTCTTTGTCTGTTGTCTTATCATGGTAGAGCCAGTGACTTCTTGAGTAAAGTGTAACAAGAAGTAGATTTTATGAGAGCTTGCTGTTCTGAAAGTCTTATTAATAAGTACATTGAGATCTAGAATTCTAATCTTCATGATTGCATGCTGTGCCATCTTTCTGTTTCCATTGTTGGTTTTCAAAAGTCTGTAGTAATTCTGGCTGCTCCCTTTCTGTGTATGATGACTTTATGACTTACTAGGAATGCATAGACTTCTGTTTCTAAAGTCTTAGAGTTCCTTGCTGTGAGACTGTTCGCATCCATAGCGTGGGATACTCCATCAGGTATTATTATTCTGGGAGCTCTAATTGTCTACTGGAAGCATTTCTTGGTTTCTTTGTGTTCTGTTTTGATGCAGGGATTAAACCTAGGGCCCTTGAGTGTGCTAGGCAAGGGCTATCACAGAGTTAGCTATATCCTCGGTCCTTCTCTCTAATCTGAGTCTTTAATTCTTGATTCTTATAGACTATTGTAAATTCTTAAAATGTTTTCTTTTCTTCTATGCCTCCAATCTCTTCTATAGGCATTTTCCTCAAGCTTTTTTTCTAGTTTATATCAGGAATTTGAAAATTTCTTGTGTTATAATTTTCATGATATCCTTCTTAATTTCTGAATTGTACTTGTTTCGTAGGTTACATCTCTCCTGAGTGTTTCAGATACAGAGCTCAGATCCTGTTGGAATCTACAAAGGAAGTTCAAATATGTTATTTTAAGTGTATAACAGGAGTAGGAATGATACCAAGGTGTAAGCAGAGACTGTGCTTTTGTTTCCCTGCCACCAGACCTGAATAATCATACAAAACTATATTAATTATAATACTGTTTGGCCAAAGGCTCCAGCATATTCCTAGCTAACTCTTGAATCTTAAATTAACCCATTTCTACTAATCTGAGTATATATCACCACGAGGCTGTGGCTTACCAGTAAGGTTCTGGTGGTGTCTTTCTCATTGGGCAGTTCCACAGCTTCCCTGTAGTCTGCCTTCTCTCTTTCTATATCTCTGCCTGGCTTTCCTCTGCTAAGCCATTGGCCGGAACAGCTTTATTAAGTAGGGTGAACACGGTGTTTTGAGACAGAGGCAGGGAACTGAAGAGAGCAGTGAGCATTCACTGTGGCTGATCTGTGTGGGTGGGGAGAAACAGCAGGTGAGAAAACTCCATAGGTAGTTCGAAAGTAAATTTGGAAAATGTTTATGGTATGGAAGGAATTTTTGTGTATTAATTGTATATGTTTCCACTTTGCTGAATTTGGTAGCTTACACACACACACACACACACACACACACACGCACACACACACACATGAACCATCTCTGAAAAGACTGAAAAGGAATAGTTTTTTAGGTCTTTCTCTCGTTTGGGTTTATATTAGTGCTTTTTAATTTCTCTTTTTTTAAGAACCTGGTTTTAGAGTAGATATGCTCTGAAGTTCTTTTGTGCTCCAGTGTCCAAGGTCTTCCTTTTTCCCAGCCGTGATGGCGTTAGCACTGCTGAACCTGTGAAGTGGAGACCAGGAATGTGGGATGGAGAAGGATCTGACCCAAGCCTCAGTCTGACATCATCAACTGGAGGTGGTTAGAAGCTGTGGCAGCTAAGGATGCCCCAAACCCCCTTCCTAGGATGCTCTCTAGGAAGTGGAGATGTCACCCCACTTAAACTTTCAAATAGGAAATCCCTTTATCCTACCTTGCTTTTTATTGCTGTAATTTATTGATCTTAAAATACTGCATAACAGACTTCTCTTGGGTCAAAGAGAGATCCTAGAGCTCCCCTCCTCCACCTGAAGGAGCCCTGTGGGGCCAGGTGCTGAGGGGAGCCTCCTTGTATCCTGCTTATCTCTTTCTCCAGGGGCCCCAGGTTGGGCTCCATCCCATCTGCAAGTACCTCCAGAAGCATATCTATTTCATTTAATTGGAGTTGGAAGAGGGATCTTGCCCTACTTTTCCACCTTTCCCAGAGCAGGGGAGGGTGCGGGCACATTGAGCTCACTTCTCTAGTTTGAGTGTTGAGGTTGAAGCTGCTGCTGAGCAGCCTTCGGTGTCACAGAGGAGTCATTACCTAGGACTGACCTCTCAGTTCAGAAGCTTGCAGTATTTATATACAGAGATGAGAAACTATTGTGTTATTATCTATTCATTAAAAGTTTGATTGAATCCTGAGTGAGGTAAGCCAGACCCAAAAAGAGGAACATGGGGTGTACTCACTCATATTTGGTTTCTAGCCATAAATAAAGGACATTGAGCTTATAATTCGCAATCCTAGAGAAGCTAAATAAGAAGGTGAATCCAAAGACAAACATATAGACATCCTCCTGAATATTAACCTTCATCAGGCGATATGAAAGGAGACAGAGACAGAGACCCACATTGGAGCACCAGAATGAAATCTCAAGGTCCAAATCAGGAGCAGAAGGAGAGGGAGCACAAGCAAGGAACTCAGGACCGTGAGGGGTACACCCACACACTGAGACAATGGGGATGTTCTATCGGGAACTCACCAAGGCCAGCTGGCCTGGGTCTGAAAAAGCATGGGATAAAACCGGACTTGCTGAACATAGCGGACAATGAGGACTACTGAGAACTCAAGAACAATGGCAGTGGGTTTTTGATCCTACTGCACGTACTGGCTTTGGGGGAGCCTAGGCAGTTTGGATGCTCACCTTACTAGACGTGGATGGAGGTGGGTGGTCCTTGGACTTCCCACAGGTCAGGGAACCCTGATTGCTCTTCGAGCTGATGAGGGAGGGGGACTTGATCGGGGGAGGGGGAGGGAAATGGGAGGTGGTGGCAGGGAGGAGGCAGAAATCCTTAATAAATAAATAAATTTTAAAAAAAAGAAACATAAAAAAAGAAACACACACACACACACAAAAATCCCAGTATGTGTGTGTGTCATAAATAAATAAAAACTTCCAAGAATTAAAAAAAAAAGTTTGATTGAAAACTAAAATAACTTGCATTTAATTGTTGATTTTTTCTACCTAGTTGTAATGTGATTATAGAATATAATTTTTGTGAAACCAATCCTCTAGTATTTGTTATTCATCTTTTTGATTTTCTTATAGTTTAATTATGTTTTTCTTTGACATGAAGTCTCGCTGTGTAATCAGGTTATCATCTGACTGTCCATGTAGACCAGCGTTGTCTTGAAATTGAGCGCTCTTGCTTCAGGCTCCTACATCCTTGCATTGCAGACATGTGCCAGTATTTCTGGCAATGGTTTTGTTTCTGTTTCCTGTAATATATGGTATTAAGCAATGTTTAGTGTTGCTTAGTTGAATTTTATGCTAATGGAATGATTATGTGTCCTTGTGCTACTTGCCCTTTCTATTTCAGCTGGGGACTGAAGTGTGTCTCTTCTAGGTTCCCGTGTTGGAGCTCCAACTCCAGTGGAATGGTTTCTGCAGATTGGAAAAGTATTGAGTTTAGATGAGGGCATGAGAGTGGGTCCGTGTGCCCTCTTGTGGGGCTAGTGTCTTCCTAAGGGGCTGGAGAGTGAGCTTCTGCCCTCTTTCTTTGCTGCATGAGGACAGAGAGAACTGCTGGTATCTTGATTTTGGACTTGTAGCCCCCAGACCTGTCAAAAATAAACAGTTCTACGTAGGCTATCCAGTCTGCCTCTTGCTGTTGCGACAGATTGAATCAAGGCTCTTTTATTTTTCCCATTATGATTTGGAAATTTAAATGTTTAAGGATAAGAACATGTTACAATTTGTCTGTTCTGTGAATGGAGGATATTTGGATTATTTCAGCTTTTAAAAAAGTCATTTTATAAGTGCTTTCCTGTTGGACATATTAAGAGTTTTATATGAATGCCATTGCTGATAGTTGTTTCTGACCTCAAAGGTTGATTTCATAGGAGTTAGAAGAGTATAAGGAGTAAAAGTGTTGATGAATGAAACTTGTGAAATGCTAGTGCCCTTTACCCTCACACTGGAGGGCTGAGAGCTTCTGTGCTTTGAATTTTTGTGCTATTTCATGCCTATTCTAGTGTGGCTCCTTGGAGTGTTGCCATTGTTACTTTAACTGAATGTCACTGGATTACTTTGAGGCTTAACATCTTTATATTGTTTATGAACCATCTTACTTCCTTTCTTGTGAAGTTTCTGCTCATGATTTTGCTTACACTTTGAATGACTTGGGAAAGTAGCTCTTTTTTACTGGGATAGGAATTGCTTGGTTGAGTTTAGAAAATATCTATGGAGCCAATTCTTGGTTTGGGATCTGGTCTACATAAAGATGAATAAGGTGGACTCATAACCTCAATCTGTATTCTACCAAGGTTCAATTTACCTGTAAACTCAAGTTTCTCTATTGTCCCTGCACTAAATATTACTTACTATAGCTCCATGAGTTACCTAACGTTACTTCCCTGCTTACTTTAGCCATTTGAAAAGCAGCGTCTTTGACTAGCTGATATCTACTTTCCTTTTTCACCAGTGTGTCTGAGTGTTCTGTTTCTCATTCAGTTTTGAAGGTAGAAATAAGTTACTTTCATTGTAGTGGTAAACTATAATGAGGCTCCCTACCCACACTTTTATCTAACAATGCTGGGTTTTGCCTTTGTAGTTTGAATCTAATTCCCAAGGACCTTTCCCCCTTTTTGTTTCCAGATTACAATTACTATCTTTTATTTTCAAAATATCTTGCAATGCTGTTAAACCTGCAAACTCGATCCTAATGCGTGTGAATTATTCTTTCTCAGAGTGAAGATACGCAACAGCAGATCATCAGGGAGACTTTCCATTTGGTGTCGAAGCGAGATGAGAATGTGTGTAATTTCCTAGAAGGAGGATTGTAAGTAGAGCTTTTCGTGGGTATTTCTGATTTCCAGTGTGTGGTGAAAGTATGTACTTGATGAAAATCCTTCATTGTGATTCATTAAATTCGGTGAATTAATTGTTATCACTGTTAGGCATGACTCTAATTTGTAGACTTTTTAAGATACTCAGTCTTTCTAAAAATTTTCCCCTCCCAGCCTTAGTCCTTTCACCCAGTTTCTTGTGCATTTTATATTTACCGACATAAAAATATAGCCTTAAAATATTTTACTTATGAGATCACAGTGTTTACTTGCATGTTGCCTTTTTTGCTTAATACTTTGTAAACTTTTGCCTGTATATTCATCTGGAGAAATAGAACTTACCTAGCAAAGGTGCTGACTGCCAGCCCTGATGACCTGAATGTGATCCCTAGGACCCACATAGGAGGGAACTTGTTCCCACAAGTTGTCATTTGTCATATGTGCATCCACATACACAAATAAGTGTAATACATTTTTAAAAATTCTGGGAGATCATTCTTTCTAATGGGTGTAGTATTCCTAGTTTGAATGCACATAAAATTTCAGATCATATGCTTTATTTTATTATAAACAAAGTCAAAGTCTACTTTTCAAATATCTATGAGTCTAATATATCCCTATATAAGTTCAACTAGTAGATGTTTCTGTTTTTAAAATGAAAAAATTAGCTTGAAAACTAAATAAATACTGTAGATATTTATTTTTTCTTTTTCGTTGTCTGCAGCACTGTAAATTAGACCCAAGGCTTTGTGCTTGCTAGGCAAGTGCTTTCCTACTCATGTTCATCCCAAGCTCTAAGTAAATCCTTTAAAATGAATGGGTTCTATTGACAGCAGTTTACCTCAAAATGATTTCTTCCCCAGTTACACTTAATATGTTCTTATTGAGAATTAAAACTAAGTATCAGCAAAGTCACATGAATGATAAGATGCATATTGTAAAAAAAAAATCAGGGCAACAGAACCCACTTTTGTCTGACCATATTTTTTTAATAATGTGGAAAGTTTATTTACATTTTAAAAAGTTATATCATACTGCACTTAAACATGTAATGCATGTTTATGTGTAGATTTTGGTGTTAAGCTCCCCCAGACTCTAACTTAGTGAGCAGGGCAGCCACTTGTTCTGCTTTTGTTGAACCTCTGTGGGAATCTGGTCGTCTTTGCCGTAGCCATTGCTTCTCTCTTAGCTTCTTACCATCTCACAGGCGTCTCACCTCCGCAGGCGCAGGGTGTTTCACATGGTAGATAGAAAGAGGACCCTGTTTGGACGGAAATTAGGCTTTGAAATTGACATTCTTCCCTAACCATATAAAAACGGGAGGCAGTTACTTACTGTGCCAAAGATGAAGCTGTTCATCCATCCTCATTCTAGTTTTGATCCTGGTTAGCCAGTTCCCTTGGTCAGATTGTTCAAATTCTTGGAACTTCGTTTTCTCCTCTAAAATGAAATATTAGGTCTAAGGAGATGTCAAAAATTAGAAACTTATATTTATAAAATTTTACATTCTGCATTTCACCTCTGTACTGTATACTTTTTAGTCCACTTGACACAAACTAGAGTCATCAGAGAGGAGATATAGAGAAAATGCCTCCATAAGATTCAGCAGAAAGTCATTTTTTTTCATTAGTGATCAGTGTGGGAGGCCCAGCCCACTGTGGGTGGTGCCATCTCTGGGCTGTGGTCCTGGACTCTATGAGCAGGCCTTTTGCCGCAAACCAGTAAGCAGCCAAGGCCCCTGTACCAGCTCCTGCCTCCAGGATCCTATCCTGTTTGAGTTCCTGTCCTGATTTCCTTCAGTGATGGACTTGTATGTGGAAATGTAAGCCAAGTTAACCCTTTCTTCCCTAGCTTGACTTTGGTCATGGCGTTTCATCATAGCGGTAGAAACCCTGGCTAAGACAACTTACACAATAACTTGGATAGTATTAGATTGGTTAAAGTGAAATTATGTTTTTCAAGGCCAATTATGTTCTTGCTTTGCACAGGTCCTTAGTTTCTCTGAGCATTAATCTAATTTGTAACACATTTTCAGAAGCATGGTCTTTTAAAGCAAAACAAAAGACAACTTATAGTAAAATAGCTGATGTGTTTATTTTCCCTTTCAGGGAATAATTTGTAACTGTTGTCATAACCAATGTCAGAATGTTCAAAGTGTACATACAGACTTTTAAATTAAATCCTCTCTGGACAAGTAACCTAGCATACTAAGAATCCTCCCTAGAACGCGCCCCCCCCCACCCCATATAATTTGTTTTTGCTCTTATAGGACAAGGAAGCAGTATGTACTTAGAAGTTGTTTCTATAGAGCTTGCAAGTTTAGTGTTATATTTATGGACTGAGAAAAATGTCGTACCATATTTGTGGATACTCTCTTAATTTTGATTGTGTATAACCTTGTTTTAAATCATGTTAATGTGGAAGTGGTCTTGAGAAGGTGAATTTGGTATTATAAACTTGACTATTATACAGCTAAAGTGTATTTGGAAAAATAGAAGATGCCTCAGATAATTCCTAAATTATTCTTTTAAAAATGCTAAATTCTAGTCATATGAATAAAAGAATTTAATGAAAGAGTTGAGCATTCATTAGCCCAGTGTTCTTACATTTAGATTTAAGAGTAGTGTTTTTGGAGAGCATCTTGATGCTAAGTCTGTCTAAAACTTAAGAAATACTCTTTTTTTTTTCCTAGCTGATAATCAGTCTTAAGCTGTGTATTTTACTGTGACCTATGAAGTTATATCTTGTAAGCATTTGCACATGCTTTGTGATCTGGTTTGCCTGTTCCTTCAGCCTCATTGTTTACTAACCTATTCTTGTCTACTGGCCTCATGTCTCCCTGAAAGTGCATATTGTCGTGACAAAAAGCCCTTTTCAGCCATTGCGACCTGACTCCAAGGTGCTCCTCTCTTCATTGTTCCATGGGTCACCCTATTGGTTAGATGTCAGTCTAAATGTCTCTCTCTCTCTCTCCCTGTCTCTTTCTGTTTCTCTCTCTGTTTCTCTCTCTGTTTCTCTCTCTCTCTCTCTCTCTGTTTCTCTCTGTTTCTCTCTCTCTCTCTCTCTCTCTCTCTCTCTCTCTCTCTCTCTGTCCATTCTGAAGTGGGAAGCTCATGGATGTGCTAGACCTGCCCTGGTTCTCTGTGTGGCACCTTCCCCTACCTGTTGACTTTCTCATCTCTTTACCTGCTATCAGGGCCTGACACACCACACTTAACTCAGTGAATACTTTAATGAATAATTAACTAAAATTAAGTGCTGGCTTTTTTTTTACTTGACATTTCTGAAGAAAATTGCTGTCTTAATCTACTTAGCTTCTGAAGTTTACTTGAACGCTATGCCATTGTTACATTCTGTTTTACAAAAGGTCTTAACAAATGCCATTTTGCTTGAACTAATGAAATGTTCTGCATTTTGTTCACCATTTTAATTACTTTGTTTTGTCATTTAGATTAATCGGAGGCTCTGACAACAAGCTGATTTATAGACATTATGCAACACTATATTTTGTCTTCTGTGTGGATTCCTCAGAAAGTGAACTTGGCATTTTAGACCTAATTCAAGTAAGTTAACAGTTAGATCTTAACTACCTTTAATTAGTTATTTTGATTATATTTTTGTAAATTTAAGATTCAAACTCTATAAAATGATGGTTTGCTTGTTAAGTGTTCCATAGTTATCAGGTGGGTACGCTGTCACATATTACCTGACATAAATCATTTTAGGGGAAATATTTATTTTGGCTCAGAGTTCTGAAGTTTCAGTCTGTCAGCTGCTCCATCCCATTGCATTATGTCATGGCAAAGCAGTAGCGTAGCGGAAGAGCATGGCAGAGGAGTGCTGTTGTTCTCGTGGCCGTTGGGAAGCAAAAGGGCCAGGGACAAGATGAACATTTCAAAGACACCTCCAGTGGCCCCTTTCCTCCAGCTAGGTTCCACCTCTTGGTAGACTGTTTAGTTATGAACTTGTAAGTAGATTATTTTATCTAGAAAAACAGTACCCTCATGATCCAGTTCAAACCATATTAAAGGATGGAGAAACTAATCTGTTTAGGACTAATTACAACTAATTTCGTCATGCCTTTTCTGTTCGTGTGGGTTACTACAAGGAGCCCAAGACTCTGAATCTTTCTGCATATGTCCAAATCTGACCCTGAAGACTTAACTCTCCCAGGCTTCTGAAAAGCTTTTGAAGTGTGTCCATAGAACTGAAGGTCATTCATAAGACAACTGATGTTTTGAACCTCATCTGTTAATACTTCTTTGATGCTTTAAATTAAATCTTGCTTTTTTATTACTGCCTTCAACTTTCAACAGGTTGTATGTGTGTGCTTGTGTGTGTGTGTGCCTGTGTGTGTGCATGTGTGCTTTTTCATTTTATTGAGCCTAGAGATGTATTTGTTTCTTCCAGCATCTTTCCTTCTCTAGATTTCATCTCCTATTTTATTAGACTAGCCTGAATTTAGTCGTTTTCATCTCTTTCTACCTCCCATGCCTTGGGGATTTTGTCAGCAACTATCAAGGCTTTGAGATTGTCCTCCATTTGCAAGCTAAGTTGCTAAGTTGACCTACAGTATAAAGAATGGCTGCAAAAGATGAGACGTAGACTTCTTGCATTACTAACAGCAGAAGCATTATCCGGAAAACACCCCGATCCACACTAACAATTGCCTGCACTAGTTCTTGTCTCGGAGGATGCTGTGAAGGAGCCAGGTGATGCCTGCACCCCAGTAACTCATCACATGGGTGGGGGACCCCAGACTTGGGAGCTGACTTTCTTTATAATGGGGAAATCATGTCTGCTCTGGGGAGAACGAGATTCTCTTTAAGGGAAAAAGTAAACTTATCCTTTGCTGTAAAGGAAGACACTATTTTTCCAAGACTGTTTGTCAGTGTGACAGATTTGAAAAGATAGTCCTAGACACAGATAGCAACCACCTCTGTTCACAGGATTGTACAAACCTAAAATCTGTAGACTTTTCAGAGTTGCTTCTTACTCGCTAGTATTCAGTACAGGACTGCATGTGTGAAGGCTCTTGGGGACTTTGGGGTTTTCACGTACAACACTCCATGGCCTTCTGTCTTCAGACCTGGACTTTGGGGTTTTCATGTACAACACTCCATGGCCTTCTATCTTCAGACCTGGACTTTGGGGTTTTCATGTACAACACTCCATGGCCTTCTATCTTCAGACCTGGATTTTGGGGTTTTCACGTACAACATTCCATGGCCTTATATCTTCAGACCTGGAGCTACACTTCTTCAGAGTGCCTTCTGCCCCAGCTTTCTGTTCATGTGTAGGCCTTGTTTTTAGACAACTGCAAATCAGTCTGTTCTCTCAGTCTCGGTTTCTTCTCTCAGCTGCCTTCGTATCTTCCCATGTTTCTGTTCCCTCTGGTTTTAACATCTGGCGTGTTCCTCACTTTCCCTAATCCTGCCTGGGTCTTGCTTTTCTTTATTCAGTTTAGATTCCATGGAGAGTTATAGTATGCATAGCCTTCTGTGCACTTCATTCCCAGCCTGTGCTAATACACTTGGAAGATTTTTTTTTTAAGATTTATTTATTATGTATACAACATTCTGCCTCGATGTATGCCCGCACGCCAGAGGAGGGCGCCAGATCTCAGTACAAATGGTTGTGAACCACCATGTGGTTACTGGGAATTGAACTCAGGACCTCTGGAAGAGCAGCCAGTGCTCTTAACCTCTGAGCCATCTCTCCAGCCCCCCACTTGGAAGATGTTGAAGAAAAGCACAATGCTATTTACTGCTCACTTTAGACTACTGATCTCGGGAAGTCCTTAGTACTGTCCACTAGTCATAGTTCATCTGTGGCCCACTTTTTCACCCTGACATCACTTCCTAGAGCACTAACAAGACTGAAGCAGTCAGAAGAGAGCGTTGGCCAGCTCTTGCTGTCCACCTGCCTGCCCGTTGTGTGTTCTGTAGAGGCTGCACTCACGGTGCTCCTAGCTGAGGACCCAGGCTGTTGTAGTCTTCACTTCCTCTTCTCCAGCGCCCGTACACCTCTTCTAAATCATTCCCGCAGCCAGCACCGTGCTCTCCACCTCTACTCCCCTTCTGTCACTGACGTTATTTCTTTCTCTCCTTTGACAACAAAATACGTAGTTATAAAAATATATCTGGAACCCTTTTTGCTCTCTTGTACCATTGTTGCTGAATTGCAAGGTTCTTAGCAGGCTTCCTCTGCCTGATTCAGTTTGCTCACTCATGATGAGTACTTTCTCCACTTGATTTTGAGGGTAGTGTTCTTCCCTGGCTTTTGTCCTGCATCTTTAGTTACTTCATCGTGGCCTCGTCACCTCACCTACCTCTAGTTGTTGATCATGTCTTAGGGTTCTGTCTTGAGTATCTTCTCTTTTTGTTGGTTTACTCCTTTGCTAAGTTATTTTATCCAAATATTATCTGTGTGTTGGTGGTACCAAATTTAATCTTTAGCCCAGAGCTTTTCTTTGAGTAAATAACTTTGAAGCCCAATTTCTTTTTGGACTTCTCCTTTTGGGTATTATGTAAAGATCTCAAACTTCCTGTGTCCCACTCTGAGGTAGATCTGACATCTGTATTTCCTATGGATTTTGTCTTATTGTTAGCAACAACTTTACTCTTCCAGTGCTGTAGTCAGAACCTGAGGTCCTTAGGTCCTTAGGTCTCACTCTTTGCACCCTGCCTCCATCTTCGGCGAATCCTTGCCTGACCACTTACTACCTTCTTGGCTGTTACCACTTGGTCCAGGCCTCCACAATTAATCTGTATCCTGGCAGTTTCCTGGCTGTTCTCCCTGCTTCTGCTGTTTTGGGTCCTCACTTGGTGCTTCAGTCAGAAGCCATTGCAGTATGCCACATCTCATACCTTTTATCCTAGACTCTCCATAATAACTTCCTGGAGAAATGTGCCACATTTGCACATCTGTCATTGGCTACCCAGGGTCCTGTGTGTTCTACCCCGCCCCCCATTGCTTGCTTATCTTCCTTCTGTCTCCGTCTCACGTGCTTAGCCTCTTACTGATCTAACAAGCAGACTTCTACTTCAGACTTTGTACTTGCTGGCTTCGGTGCCTGGAATGTTCTTTCATTTGGTACCCACTTGACTGGCTCTATATCATTCTTCCAGATTTTGACCCAAATACTACCTTTTCAGTATGGAAATCTCTGGCTATGCTTTCTAAAATTCCCCTCTACATTTCTAACATACATCTGTATTTTTCTTTTCCTTAGCACATGTTACCATTTTATATGCCATATGGTTGACATATTTTGTTTATCATTTATTGCAAATAGAATAAAAGCTCTATGGAAGCCTAGAGGTTATGTTATTTATTGACTTATCTATCAGAACTGTATATTGCATTGCATTATTATTGTTGATTTATCTCATACAAGGAATAGTAAGTCTTCAAGAAATAATTGTTTGATGAATGGATTTAATGTCCATGTACAGTATACAATATAAAATAATTGACAATAAAGCCTAAAGTTTAATTAGAATAGTTATACTGAAAATTACCAAAATAAAATATAGCTATGACTACATATTATTGACATTTTCTTATCTGAGTTTTGCTTGCTGTGTTAATTTATGAGAATCATTAAGACACACACACACACATATGTATTTTCAGTTCATATGCAATCCCATCTCTAAAAACTAAAGAAAGAAGAAGAAGAAAAGCAAACTACCTTTAAAAATGTAGTTGTGGGCCAGAGAGCGGGTAAAAGCACTTTCCATGCAGGCCTGCTGGACAGAACCCACACAGTAGCAAGATCCATCTCCATCAAATTGTCCTCTAACCCCACATACCCGTGTGGGCACGCAGGCTGACACACACTAGTAAATAATTCTTAAAAATGTAAATGTAGCCGGGCGGTGGTGGCGCACACCTTTAATCCCAGCACTCGGGAGGCAGAGGCAGGCGGATCTCTGTGAGTTCGAGGCCAGCCTGGTCTACAAGAGCTAGTTCCAGGACAGGAACCAAAAGCTACGGAGAAACCCTGTCTCGAAAAATCAAAAAAAAAATGTAAATGTAATTGTTACAAGTAATTGTCTTGGGTGAAGATTATCAAGAGGTAATACACAGAATTGTTTGTTTCCTATCTGAATAGTACACATAGATGTGGCATCAGTAAATTGAAAGCTGGGGAAAGCTACATGTAAAAAGATTTCTTTGTCAATCGAGTTATGGTTTTTAAGTCTATAGGAAGGAAATATTCTTGATTTTAAATGAGAAATTACTAAGAAGAAAACTTAAGTAATAAATTCTAAATGACCACGCTTAGAAATATAAGTGGTAAGACTAAAGCTTTTGGTGTAATTGTTAATAAGTAAAAACAATAAATGATAGTGGAGGTATTGGTGTATCACTTTCCTCTTAAACCTGGAATTCTGTTCTGTTCTGTTTGTTTGTTTGGTTGGTTTTTTTGTTTGTCTGTTTGTTTTTTTAAAGACAGAATCTCATTATGTAGTCCTGGCTTGCCTCATGCTTAGTAGGTAGGTCAAGCTGGTATTGAACTCACAGAGAGCCATCTGCCTTTGCCTCATGAGTGCTG